CTATCACCCTTCCGGGAGGGGGGAGGAGTACTCGGGGAAAGGGCACCCAAGAGAAGGCTGCGAGAAGATAGACTGCGCTGCCTTATTGATGCGTTCCAACGCTTACACACAGAGGGCAGCCATGAATGTTAGATGCGGAGACATCCCATAAATAAAAGAATAAGCGACCAGATTCTTGAGGCAGACCCATCGCAGCCACTTTGAGGCGCTGCAGTTCCCGCAGACCCCTCTTTCTCTCCATCTGCACGCCCTCTTCTTCCTTCTCGAGCAATTCCATATACACGAGCGTGGTAACATTTCTCTCTGCCCGAGCAAATCCTTGCGTAGCATATTGAATGCTGTGTACAAAGGGAAATGAACTGACAGACAAACGGACAGGGATACAAACAGACAGACCGGTTGAGAAAGACTGAAAGCCTTGACAGCGACGTCGCTGCTGCTAGCGGCTGCCCCCACCCTTCCGGGCATAAAGGGGCCTCATGTTTGTTTTTGACCGCAAAGCCCAAAGCATTCCCCAAGTTGTGGGCAAAACGCGGTTAGCTGTGCGCTGATGCTGATCCAAAACGTTTGAAATTCCAAGTCGAAAAACCTAAATGTAATATGATACACGTTTCTTTTATGTGTTCGTAACAGGGTGTAATCAAGCAGTGGATGATCTATCCAAGTAGGCAAAGTGCAGGGCTTGTCTGTGTCCGCTGCGATCGTGAATCATCAATCTTGCAGTTTCTCAGGGAGTGTTCAGGTCATCACCGACACGCAGAACCCCTGATTCTCCCCTCGCCCCCTCCTCCCTCCAAGTTTCCCCCTCCTTTTGAGGACATAGTTGTTGAGAGCAAACTGTGGGGTACAACAAGATTTTCGTGCCAGGCGAGGAGGATGGACCCCCAGGACCCCCTACCCCTCCCGCTCCATCTCTTTATCATCCCGTTTCTCCAGCTCCAGGCCTGCCCGCTTATCTCTTATCCTACCTGCCGCCTACTCCCCTGTTCCCTTTGAGGTCCGTCCCAGGGCAACCACTTGTCCAGGACCTGCTGCTCGCTAGAGGTCCACTGGAGGCCCACTGGAAGCCCTCTGGAGGCCAGCTGGAGGCCTACTGGAGACACACTCGAGGCCCACGAGTGGCCCGCCGGAAGCCTGTTGTAGGCCCGCTGGAGGTCCGCTGGAGGCTTGCTGGAGGGTGTGCAGGACACAATGGCAGTCAGCTACGTCGGTGCGCCTGCTGAGGCCAGAGCCTCATCTCAATACGGTGATTGGCAGCCAACTGTCTCGGTCGGGTCGTTATCAGACCGACCAGGCCACCGCTAACCCCGCAACCCCTACCCACTTCCTCCCCTCGGACGGCTTAGGGGGCGACCCAGCCACCACAAAGCCTCCGGGGCCGCAACTCTGTTCGACATCCTGAGCGGTTGAAGCACAACGACGCGTCTCCTCTGTTCCAGGATGGGCGGTAACTCGGCCTCGGCCCTGAACCAGCGGCAGTCCTCGGGCGGGGGCTACGCCCAGGGCGGCGAGGCGTCCAGCGGCGACCCGGGGCCGGGCGCCGCACCACCAGAGGCGCCTCAGCAGCCAGCGCGCGCCGCCGAGGGCCCGCCCCAGGGCGCGGGAGGTCAGGGCGCCGCCCAGGGCCTCAAGCAGCGGCAGGCGTCCATGGCTCTGCCCGGCGGCGGCCCCGGGGGCGGCGGCGGCTCTGGCGAGCGGCGCAGGCAGATGTCGCTGGCCGAGCCTGGCGCCCGCTCGTCGGGCCGCTCCTCGGTGGGCGTCGCGGGCCGCCTGTCGCTCATCCCGGGCCGCGGGCGGCAGGCGTCGCTCGTCGAGGCGCTGGGCTGCGTCGCGCAGCCCGAGGAGGACGAGGAGGACACCGAGCCGCCGCCGGACCTCACCGAGCACGAGAAGGAGCTGCTCACCACGTCCTGGAAGGAGATCGAGAACAACGTGGCGCACGTCGGCGTTATCACGTTCATCAGGTGAGTGCTGCGGGACTGCGCCCGGGGGCGGGCCCGGGGGGCGG